CCACACATCCAATTTTAGAATACCAATGCATCAATTAATATTGTCAATATTATCACCAATAAAATTCAACCACATGGCAATCATAAAATATAAGGTGTCATTATGGTTAGATGCCAATGCAATGCATCTATATAATTAATATTATTATTAATTATTAATATAAATCCAACATGTCGAGATAGAGCAATAAATACAAATCCAATGTGTCAAGATGAAGCAATTTGATTGGGCTCATTAAACCACAAATCCTGGTTGTCAATCCAATGTGTCAAAATAGAACAATTCTAGAGCTTCCAAAATATGTCATGTCTCGATCAACCAAGATGGGTATTTAGCTATATATATTATTTTTTTATTATTTATTTTAATATCTAAATTTTAACATCAATAAATTTATATTATTTTTGAACCTAAGAGAAATTTAGTATTTCATCGTATCTCATATCGGAGAAATTAATTTATTAATCCAATTAACAATATCAAACCCAACCATGCTTAGATAATTGAGGTTGGGTTAGAGCTTAACATTAAGGATTTATTTTTCCCCACCTAGTCAAATAATGAAAACATGAATTTTTTTTTTTTCATTTTTACCAAAATTTGTGACAATTTTGAACACATCCTTTAAACGTTGTGGTCTCAAAATTATTACTTATTTCTAGACACTAAAAAAAAAAAAAAATTATTAATATGATAATTATACAAAAAACTGATGTGTTATAATAAAATTAAATGATTTAAAATAAAAATAAATGAAACAAATTGAAATAAGTGATGTGATAAGCATTTCAAGTTGTTATATAAGTGTAAAGAGGATTTCAGCTAAAGAAGGCAAAATTTACCAAAGAAAGCTCAAATACAGGATGTGAAGAAAAGAAGAAGTTTGTATTTTCTTTCTTGTGTATTTCCATGTACAATTGTTGCGAATTTATACAAGAAAAGAATGTAAATGGAAAGAAAATATTTACAAAAAAGACAAAGTCTGTATAAAGAAGGAAATGTAATGTTTGAGAATTGATTTCTATTTTGATTCCTCAATTCACGTCTCAATTCAAGCTTTCTTTCCAATAATACGTATATAAAGATCAGTTTGTATGATGAGTTTGTACACAAAATATTTTTCTCTTTAATCCACCATCATGTAAAAAAAAAAAATGGTCGTATTTTTTGTTACCTATGTTGTAAATAATAGGACAACAAAGGAGCAACAATAACATAGAAGAGGATGCAAGCGATTAAATTGTAGCCGAATTGATTTTCTGAAATGGGCTTGAGTTGGCTTATTCTCGCGCTTGTGAGTTTTTGACTTGCTTTGCTTGTTAGTACACCAATGTGATATTCTCCTTTATAAAGAGCCTAGGAAAGACTTGTCTTTCCAATGCCGGGTTGGGTATTTCATAAACTATCCTTACTTTTTGTTAATCAACTTATGACACTTTTGTGAGAAATAGTAAAAAACCACCCTTGAGCTTTAACAAAATAAACGATCCAGCCTTAGCCCAAATATGGTTGTGCCCACGCTTAAATTCATCTTGTAGATTGATCATCTAATGGAGTGATCCATCTTGTAAGAAGATCTATTCTATGGGTCGACTTATTTTACGAGCTAAATTACATCACGAGTCTACTCTCATCATGAGCCGGGCTACTTTACAAGTTGGATCACTCTACGATCAGGGCTACCCTACGAATTGGGTCAACTTATGCTTTGGGCCACTCCACGAGTTGAGTCTTTCTTCAAGCTAAATTGGGCTCCAGTCCATTAGCCCATATTTGTTCCAAAATAGAACTTAGAGTCCTACTAACTTCCTAGTTCATCCAAGATTCCTAATCTTAGTTCAATCATCCAAGATTCCTAATCTTACATGAACTAGTGTTCTTACTTCTACATGAATTAGCATTACGAATTTCCTATTTGCTAGAACTCTTAAACTAGGAGAACTCAGAGTTCTACTTTATTTATTCATTTTTCATATTACAATAAAAATAGTTGCTTTTTATGATTTTTGATTCGGTTCGGGTAACCGGTTTTTTGCAAAGCCGAACTAGTACCTGAACCAAAAATGCGGGTTTCTCCCTTAATATCTCGAAACTGAATCGAAATTTCGATACCAAGTTTGTCCAGTTCGGTTCGGTTCGGATCGGATCGGATTGGTTTTTGGTTCCGATTCTAGTTCGGGTAATTTTGAACACCCTTGGCACAAACTTGAGTTAATAACATTATTCCCCTAAAGTTAATTTAATTAAATAACAAAATTCCTCTAGAAGGTTTCTGAAATAACATAAATCCTCCTGCCATTAAATTTACTTTTAATTGACTTGAAATTATAATGAAATAACTCTTAAAATTAATGAAATTTGCATCATTCAAACAATACTAATGCAAATTTACACTGTCTCCTTGAAAGTTAATAAACAAATATATAATGCCTATTTCATTATTTTTTAGAAGAGTGTCTTATCATTTCAATATAATGTTAGTAGTAGACCAAAACCCACAAGGATAAAAAATAAATTCTCTTTCGTTTTTGTATGTACACGTAACAAGATTATTAAGAGCAAGAATTCATTAATATTATCTCTATAAAGATGAAAGTTGAGATTGTTTCTAGAGAATTTATCAAACCTTCTTCTCATCTCCAACTCCCAAACCCTAAGAAATTTTTTAAGCTTTTCCTTAACCAACATGATGATTTAATTATACTTTGAAATCTCCTTCCGGTTGAGTTTGAATCCCAGGAAGCAGACACCGGACTATAGCGTTTGTTTAAAGTTACGTTGTTTTTAAGAGTAGCGATTGGGGTGTCTCTTTCCCACAAAATTGCTGAGCATAGCTATAAAGAGTTGGTCTGAAATAGCTCTTTCAAGGTGTAGCAAAGCGGTGAAGTTTCCTGAATTCTATGCTGCATCCATATTTCCTTCACTATATTCTGGGATTCCCCCTAGTATGTTGTTGCCTCGAGATTGATTCCGTCGTTTCAAAGAGATACGTGTTCGAATCTTCAAGGACTACTGAGCTCAAGGCTAAAGCTGCCGGTCTAATGGTGCTGCAACCTACCCGGGTTGAGTCTTTGACAGCGTTGATCTGGAAATGTTTGATAAATGTTTCAAGATCAACCAAGGGGTTTCCAAGACTATGCTTGATTTGTCACGCTGCCAGCTTAGAAAAAGGATGGCGCCACTATTGCCAGAAAACCCTATCAAAAACATGCAAAAATGGTGTGGAGACCATTAATAAAAGGAAAAGGACCTGGTTAAACATGTGTGGGATAGAAGATTTCAGGAAAGAGAGGACATATACTACATTTAATTCACGAGCTGGTGTAGACTTGGATTTAATGAGGCTGATTCCGGGTGGAGAAAGCCAACATGGGCTACTTTACCGTTTGTAAAGGTTAAGAACACAGCTTTTTTCATGGATACGAAGATGGAGAAGGAATAGGAGCATTAGTGACACTGAGCAGAGAAGACATGGGTTTATTTGAACATGAGCAAGAACTGCTTGAACTTGCTGCTGCTAATCCAAGCATATTGAAGAATTAAACACATATGGACTGTGCTTGGATTTCTGCGACTGTACTTAAGAAAAAATAATGAGAGAACTAAGTTGCTTGCTTTGTCTAATTAGAATGACCATCATCATGTTTACGGTGATAAATATGATCTTCAAAAAAAAAAAAAAAAAAAAAAAATAATAATAATAATAATTAATTAATAAGGAATAAATTTATCTTACAAATCATTTTATTAAATTAATAATTAATTTAATAAAAATCTTTTAAAATATAAAAAAAAGAAGTAAAAAAATTTTCTGGATTACAATCAATTCTGGAAGTAAGATTGAACACAACTGTATCGAATTCAGGTCCTATTCCATCCAATATGTAGGACAACAACTCCTCATATGAGATCACCCGATCACTTACACAAAAGGTTTGAAAATCTTTTTCATCTTCAAAATATATTCATTGACATTGAGCTTTTCCTTTTTGGCACACAATAACAAACTTCGCTAAAGCACTATTTTTGCTTTAGACTCAAAGATAAACTCTCTTTCTACTGTAAACCAAATGTCAGAAGCTAGAGAACACTTAGAAATTATTCTCTTTTTTGAAGTTATTCTTACATATAATTTCAATACTATACATATGCTTAACATAGTTATTCTCTAGAGTCAATGTTCTAAATTTCAAGAAATCGGCACTTAAGGACAACGACAAGGACAAGGACAAGGATCTAAACTTGAGATGATCTTCGATCTCATGTGCTCCATCAACAAAGAGAATATGTGATTGCCGGAATCAATAGTTATCATGATTAAGTTTGGGAATTATTGCTTAAAGATTGGAAGAGAAAACTAATTAAACGAGAAAGAGTTCGTCAATTTCTCATAATTTTTGGGAGGCTGAAAAATGAATCAAAATCAGCTGTTTGGCGTTTGTCAAAGGGCTTTAATACCAAGATTGTTTATGCTTGATTTTGACATCAACGACTTCACATATGTAAAATGTTAAAAAAGTCTTAAAAATTATATGTGAATGATTATGAGAATTGAATGGAGTACTGTTCTCATAGTAGCATGCAAAGACGTAAAAGTAAACAAGACTATTGAAAAAGGATTCACACAACTTAAATGCAAAATTAAAGCAAGCAACTGAAAAATAAAGCAAACTAAACACAAGAATTTTAAAGTGATTCGGCCCAATCAATTTAACCTACGTCCACTATCCACTCAAATAATTCACTAAGCAAAAGCTTACAATAGTGCAATTTTTAGTAGAGAAAAATTGTAAACTTCTTACACTATCCCCAAAAGCCCAATTACACCCTTAATAACAGCTCACAATGACTATTCTTTTGGTATCTATTTGAGATACTTTAAAAGCACAATCTAGTAGTCTATTAAAGGGTAAAGTCCCCTTGCAACTCCCATTCCCAAGCAATATGGGATTCAAGGCACAATCCCAACAATTCCTCCCTTAGACTTGAATCCCCAAACATCACAGTAGCATCTTTTCATTCCTTTTGCCTTGCAAAATAAGAACATCATCTTTATACACTTCGCATCCATCTCTTTGACCAATGTAGGTATATCCATGAGAAGCTAACTCACTTAAAGAAACCAAATTGTGACTACAACTTGGGACATACCTCACATGACGAAGCTTCTTGACAACACCATTGTGAAGCTTGAGATGAACACTATCAACACCTTCAATCTTCACTTTCTTGTTATTACCGACAACAATATTTCCATAATTTTTATTTTCTTTCAATTCAACAAAACAATCTTTATCATTACAAACATGAATAGATGCAGCAGAATCTAAAACCCAACCTTTTTCACCCTTTGAAGTTTGAGTTTCATCTTGACATGTTACTAAAAATTCACCTTCAATATTAGCAACCCAAGCATCATCCTTTGAATCCTTCATTTGTTAAGCCTTCTTGAAAGCAAGTATATCCTCCCTTAATTTCTTGCAGCGTGGTTGGATATGTCCCCTTCTCTCCACAATAATAACACTCCTTATTACTGTAATCTCCGATTGTTGATTTATCACCTCTCTCTTGAGTCCTCCCTAGATTAGAACCTTTTGCAACTAGTAGATCTACTCTATGTGATGAGTTCTCTAATCTCATAAACCTTTCATTCTCACACAACAAGGTAGTCACATCATCTAATTTTAAAGTAGATCTGCCTACCGACAAAGTCTGAACTAAAGGTCTATAATTTCTTGCAGCGTGGTTGGATATGTCCCCTCAAAACTGCTACGGTAGTTTACCTTCATACCGCTACCATGAAACTCCCAAGTGGACCCTAAAGCAAATCCTACATCTATTGTTTTCTTTTATATTAAAGTGTTCCTGGTTATTAGCCAAGATTACAAGAGGTCGTGAAGTATGCTGAGTTACAGGTGCTTGGTGTTTTAAGTGTTCTTAGAGAATATCAAGTTGGTCTTTTTCTCGTAGTGTGTCTTTACTATTTTCTTTGTTGAATTCAAAGGGTTGATCCCGATTTTGTGAGGGGGAGCTACCTATTTATACCCGCTGAGCTCAAGATAATCATTATATTCCTACAAGTGGGTGGGTGTCGTACAAATCTCTCCTGTCTTTCCATTGGTTGATAACTCAAGAGATATCCTTAAATTAAATGGGGCTTGGACATGTGTGCACCAAATTCATTCACAGGCAAAACTTGAGTCGGTTGGGTTGTTGAGAGCTATATTCTTCTATCTTGGGCGATGTGGTAGACTCTAGACGGTGCAAAGCCCCATTGAATTTTGATTGGTGCTCGCTGATATCAGCTTATGTCAACCCTGATTTTTTGGCATAATAAGGATAAAAAAAGAAGAGAATTATGAAATATGCTAACAACAGCTAACTAACTCTCTCTTTAACAGAATAAACTGATTTTTAATTGAGTTGACCAGTGCTGACTTTCCTTACTAATTGGAGCTTAGGACTAGAGCTACTCTTCACCTAGCTACTAGCTTGCTTAATCCTTAACAGGCAGTAATAATAATCATTTCATACAAGCCTACAAGACTAAGAGCACGAATTTATTAATATTATCTGTCTGACGATGCAAGGGTACTTTTGTTTTACTGACAGGAAGGAAAAAAATGTTCTTATAAAATTCTACTAGACCCAAGTGTTATTTAGGTCAAATCTCAAATATGAAATTGTAATTTTCCCGTTCTAAAACATTTGGTCATAAAGTTTACTTCTTAAAATTTAGGTTACTTTCTTTAAATTTTATAAACCACCTATACATTTGGTTATTCATGTATTATTTAAATTGTTTAGTTTTTTTTTCTTAATCGGCTAGGTTGTGACGTTTTGTCTTGATTCCTTGATTAATTGTTTAAATTGTTATTTTCGACTAGGTTCAATTGTTTTGTTCCTTGATCAATCGGAGGTGGTGGCGTTTTGTCGGCTAGGTTAACTTTTTGCCCAGATCAATGTTGGTGTTCGTTTGTAGTTGTGGTAAATATTCAATGCCCTTTTTTTTTATCTTATGCTTATTTTCTTGGCGCATTCTTTGTCAATTTGTGATTCAATTAATAATTATTATTATACTTTTAGCTGCTCTTTATTGTCATCATCATTTGGGATAATGAATGACACACAACTCCACCTAATTTATCCTATAGTATATATGAACATGATAATGGCGATTTGGAACCTCACTGCCCCCACCACTTATTCTGAGATACATTCCTGAGAATGAATTGAAAGAATCAAGTTTTCAGGGTTTATCCAAATCAGTTAAGGATGGATTGAAGATGATTTGGTGAATAAAGTGTGTTTTTATTTTAAATTTATGTTACGGAAGTGAATTAGGAATTGAGATGGATTAAGCGAATGTAGGAATTTATGTTACGTTTTTATTTTAATTTGTTGGATTTTTTGCTCTCTCCCACTGGAAAAATTCTCACTTTGTTAGGATTATTTTAGAATTAGGATAATTATGTTAAGTATTTTATAATTATGTTATTATCTTATTAGAATAGAATTAGGATTATCTTATTATTTTTTTATAATTAGGATATAATATCTTATAGATTTGAATTAGACAATTAGAGTCCTTGTAACATTAGAATAATGTGTAAGACTATATAAAGCCTAAAACAATTAAGGTTTGACAAACAATAATCAATAAAGTTCTTTTCCCTTTAAACTCTTAATTCAGTTTCCTTATATAAAGGAGAAACATTGTCCTATCATTGGTGCTCTCGTTCCCTTTCCATGGCTGACCCTTCTCGCCTAAAGGCTCTGGAAGAACTTGTCAACTTGACTCCCTAGAGGGTCTTTTGAAGGCTATTACACTAAAACTGACTGCTGTTGACGCCAAGCTAGAACAAGGACGATGACAAAAAGAGCTCATGGGGGATAGTGATGCGAGTGGCGATGACACTCCCTCGCTCGGCTCGAGTTCTCATTCTTCTAGGTCTGTGCCACCTTTTAAGCCTTTCCGATTGGAGATGCCCCGCTTTGATGGCACGGATCCACAACTCACGACCTTCTCCAAGGAAGCGAAAGTCATTTCTCAAGTGGGCCCCATCAACCATTCTGCCGATTATGTCACAGTTGTCGCAGACCACCAGTCTACTATTGACCTTCCCTTGTTCCCTCTTGGTCATAATAACAACAATCAGCCTCCCATGGGTTCCGATCTCACTCTAGTGCCATTGCTAGGCATCGTGTTGGTTCACAACAAGGGAACAAATGACTTCTTTACCATGCTGATTTTTTACCTCGGTGGTGGAACTTTTGTTGTCTCTTTATTGCTTTGGAACTCATTTGCACCAGATGATTTCTAGTGGTGTAGTACCTTGCAACCTTGAGGATCAGGTTGAATCGAAGGGGAAGGCAATGTTAGGATTATTTTAGAATTAGGATAATTATGTTAAGTCTTTTATAATTATGCTATTATCTTATTAGGATTATCTTATTATCCTTTTATAATTAGGATATAATATCTTATTAGATTTGAATCAGGTAATTAGAGTCCTTATAGGATTAGAATAGTGTGTAAGGCTATATAAAGCCTAAAACAATTAAGGTTTGAAAACAATAATTAATAAAGTTCCTTTTCCTTAAACTCTTATTTCTCATTCTTCTTGGAGGTTCTGTTTCCAACTGAGCTACGAGAGCACCAATGATAAGATAGTGTTTCTCCTTTATATAAGGAAACAAAACCTCCAAGAAGAATGAGAATTAAGAGTTTGAGGAAAAGAACTTTATTGATTATTGCTTGTCAAACCTTAATTGTTTTAGGCTTTATATAACCTTACAAATTATTCTAATCCTACAACGACTCTAATTGCCTAATTCAAATCTAATAATATATTTTATCCTAATTATAAAATGATAATTAGATAATCTTAATTCTATTTTAATAAGATAATAGCATAATTATAAAAGACTTAACATAATTATCCTAATTCTAAAATAATCCTAACACACTTTAAATCACTAAGTATCATTTTTTTGGTTCAGCTGTTGAGCTGATCATACTCTGATTGATTGGAATTTTATCTGATTGCATTTTTTCAGGTGGGTTTATGGTTAAGTTGTTATATGTTTCGTTTTTTAAAATGGTTAAGTTTATGATTGATTTTTTTTTTTAATTGATAATACACTTTTTTATTGTTGTAAAGATTATGCGGAGATTGGAGAGTGAAATGGGAATTGATGTAATGAGAATTGGGGTTCAAATCTGGAAAGTTATGGCTGATTGGGGTTCAAATCAGGAACTTTCTGCATCTCCTAGGCTATTCTGGTTTGGTTGGTTGTATGCCTTTGATTAAAAAAAATCTAATTCTTTATAAATTTGATATTGGAATTGTTATTGAAGTTTTTTATTCAATTTTTAAATTATCGGGATTTTTGTTGTCATGTTGACGTCAATGGCGGGTCGGACCGGTTCAACCGCTCGACCTGAGACCCTGTCGTCTGACCGGGTCATTGTCCAATTCAGGTTTCAGAACATTGGTTATATCCTCTTGCTTGCATAATCAAAGACCAGTTCACCTTTGAGTGCAATGACATTGGCGCTGAATATGTAGAAGCTCAAGCCAACTGTAATCTTACTGACATTTTTAACCAATATGATTGTTTGAAATTGTATTTATCTCACATCGTTAATTTGATAGACTGTTAAATTATGTATATGCTAACTTTTGAGAATAGGTTCTAATCAAGCCTATAGCTAAATCTTCTTGAATCCCAAGAATATAAAGAGTTGGTGTGAAATAGCTCTTCAGGGTGTAGCACAGCGGTGAATTTTACTGAATTCAATGCGGCATCCGTTTTCCCTCCGCTAGATTTTAGGATTCCCCTAAGTATGCACTTGCCTCCGGATGACTCCGTCGTTTGAAGAGGTTTGTGTTTGAATTTTCGAAGATTGCTGAGCTCAAGGCTAAAGCTTCCGGTCCAATGGTGCTGCAACCAACGCGGTTAAAGCTTTGACCGCTTTGATCTGGAAATATTTGATCAGTGTTTCAAGATTAACCAGGGGGTTTCCAAGGCTATGATGTCCCACGCGGCCAACCTACAAAAAAGAGGATGGTGCCACCATTGCAAGAACACGCTACGGGAACATGGTGGGGTTCTTCTTTTGGTCCACGTTCGATAAAGAAGGAGATAAGACTTGTCAGGTTTGGTTTGTAAACAGAGGAAAGAGTTATAGGAACTCGGCAAAAATGTGTTGGAGACTATTAATGCAGAGAAAAAGACTTGGCTCAACATGTGTGAAATAGAAGACGTTGCGGAAAGAGATGACATAGACTATGTTTTATTCACTAGTTGGTGTCGATTTGGATTCAATGAGGCTGATTTCGGGAGGGGAAAGCCAGCATGGGCAACATTCCCGTTTGTAAAGGTTAAGAATACAGTTGTTTTGATAGATACGGAAGATGGTGAAGGAGTA